CCTCCCCTCCTCCTTAACTGCAGCTTTTCTCTCTCTGTAAACTTCCTTCAGAAAAAGCCAGAAAGTTTACAAAGATTCAGCAGAAACACTAAATGCGGCATCCATTAGTGTCAGCTCTAGAATCATATATCTTTGGAAAAAAAGACAGAATCCCGGTACAAATAGGATCAGCAACGAAACATTTCAAGATGGAGTGTTCTTGATGGATCCCAGCCATAATTTTTTCCCCATTTCAGAACCTTTATGAATGTCTTAGTGTACTTATTTTGAAATCTTCGTAGTTTCTCCATCACTCTTGCTAATAGCCAGATCAAATAGTGAATGCTTTTAAAGGATATAAAAGCTCATCTGAAAAACAGAAATGGCAAAGTGATTTTTCCCCCCTTTCTCTAGTTAGCAAGAAACTAACCAGAACTTGAAAACAAACACATGGAGGCATTTCTGGAGAACTTTTAAATTCTTATATTTTTGCCTCCCCCCCCCCTCCCCCCCAAGTTTGAATTCTGATAAAGGAGAATCTTTATAGCTCCAGGGTTAAAATGAGGGGTCTTTGGTGCTCTCTGAGTTGGGTGGTTTTCTTGCAGCTGTTTCATTACACACACTAGATCACAGCAGCACTGATAGCGTTGCCTAGTTGGGTAATAAAACATCTGCAAGAAAACAACCAAGTCAGAGAGCACCAAGGACCCCAAAAGACCTCCTCCTCCTCCCCTTTGCAAACTTCACTCCCTTCTAGCATAGATGATGTTGCCTAGTTGGGTAATAAAACATCTGAAAGAAAACAACTAAGCTCAGAGAGCACCGAAGTCTCCATAATTCTCCTCCTCCTCCTCCTCCTCTCCCCCCTTCCTTCCTTCCATAGCGCGCAGTGGTTAGAATGCGCTATTGCAGGCTAATTGTGCCAACTGACCGGCTCAAGGCTGACTCAGCCTTCCGTCCTTCCGAGATGGGTAAAATGAGGACCCAGATTGTTGGGGGCAAGAGGCTGACTCTGTAAACTGCTTAGAGAGGGCTGCAAAAGCACTTTGAAGCGATATATAAGTATTATTGCTATTGTCCTTCCTTCCTTCCTTCCTTCCTTCCTTCCTCCCTCCCTTCCTTCAGGTTGACTTAACCTTCTATTTTTTTATTTATTTATTTATATGCCGCCCTTCTCCGGAGACTCAGGGCGGCTTACAATGCGTTAAGCAATAGCCTTCATACTTTTGTATATTTATACAAAGTCAGCTTATTGCCCCCACAAACTGGGTCCTCAATTTACCTACCTTAGAAAGGATGGAAGGCTGAGTCAACCTTGAGCCTGGTGAGATTCGATTTTACTTTAATTGCAGACAGCTGGTGTTAAATTACAGTGCTTCTGTCTGTTGAGCTAAATCAGGCTCCTATCCTTCCCAAGTAGGTAAAATGAGGACTGTTGCGGGCAAGAAGCTGACTCTGTAAACTGCTTAGAGAGGGCTGTAAAAGCACTATGAAGCGATATCTAAATCTAAGCGCTATTGCTATAAGATGGGGCAAAACTCACTTAATAACAGAAATTCTGAGCTCAACGGAAGTCATACGTCAAGGACTACCCATACATAACTGGCTTATTTTTTCATACTAGATTGATCTTCCTTCCGTAATTTTCTGACAGTCCATTTAACTCTCAAAGAAATGGGTCAGGAAGGAAGGAAATCATCTCACAAGGCTTTTCAGGTCAGAAAGCACGAGAAGCTCTGTAAAATATCAGAAATAGAGAAAAATTGAGCACTGAGAGATATAATGCCCAAATATGACTTTTTCCACCACCAACACTAGAGGGAAGTTAAAAAACAAGCAAACCTGCGAAGAGAAATCTAAAAGAATTTTTTCTTTTTGGTTTTAAAAAACAAACTTTATTAAATTTAAAAAGATAAAATTATATAAAACATTCACAACCTTAAAATACAATCAACAATACTAATCACAACAAACGAATTACATATATGTAATATATATAAATACAAACATACACAGTGACTTATTTCCTTTTTTATCTTAATGACGGTGTATGATTATTACTTTTAATTTCTTACTAGATTTTAATTTTACCTTCTTTTCATACCAATTGCTTTATCCACTCTTACCAACTATCCCATATCTTAAAATACTGTGAGTCTTCCTTGTCTTTCAATTTCAACGTTAGTCTATCCATTTCTGCACACGTATAAATTTTTTGAATTATTTGCTGCTCCGTTGGCAATTTATCTGTTTTCCAGACTTGTGCTAGGGCTAACCTAGCTGCCGTGATTATATGTAATGTTAGGTACTTTTTTTCTTTTCTAATGTTTTGTTTAAGCATTCCTAACAAAAAGATTTCTGGTTTTAGCTCAATATCTTCCTCAATTATTTCTGATATCCAAATTTTTATTTTTATCCAATATTTCTTAATTTTTGGGCAAAGCCACCAGACATGAAAGAAGGTTCCCTGTGCTTGCTTACATTTCCAACACATTGGGTTAAGATTTGCATACATCCTCGCCAATCTCGCAGGGGCTATTTTTTCATGCATTCTGAGAATGAAGTAGACAAACCGAATCTTTTTTTCTTTTTCTTCCTTCCTTCCTTCCTTCCTTTCTCTCTCTCTCTCCCTTCCTTCTTCTTTCTCTTTCTCTTCCTTTCTTTTTCTCTTCCTTCCTTCCTTTCTCTCTCTCTCCCTTCCTTTTCTTTCTCTCGCTACCCTCCCTCCCTCCCTCCCTTTCTTTGCAAGGGAAGAAAACTTAAGAAACTTAAGGGAGATTTTAGCATTGAGAAAATGTAGCTTGAATAAATATTTGTCTTGCATATATCTTGCATCTTGCATATGTCTTGCATCTGAGTTGGACCGTTTCCCTTAACGCCTGTGGTTTAATGCTTTTTTTAGGCTCAACATATTGCATTACCATCCATCTTGAGAGGGTTATAAATACGTCTTATATAAACTTTTTTAAAAAAAAAAATGTAGGAAGCCCCTGGGCTGTAGGAACCAAAACTAAAAAAAAAAAAAATATACAAAAACTCTGCGGCTATTTATGTGAAGCCTTAATTTGCAAACAAAAGGAAACAAGTTTATCTTTTTAATGAAGGAACAACCTCATCAGGCCTCTCTAACATCGATCGTTTTCAGCGTTCTTAGCGATTGGAGAGCGTGGCTCTTGGGAAAGGCTCACCTTTTGTCCACTTCATCTTGGAGGAGGGGGCGAAGGGTGGCGGTGCCCGGGGCATGAGTGTTTGATTTGATTTGATTTCGGAGCTGAGGGCACTAGGGAGGCAGACGGATCATGGGATACTCATGGATCGAATCCAGTTTTTGAAGGCTGTGTGTCTCTGGCTAAGGTCGAGGGTGGAAATTGCTGCACTTGCAAAACCTGAATTAGGCCCTATGAGGTTTGAGGAGGATTTCTATTTAGAAAAAGTCCAGATGTTTTTGCATCTAATAAAAGTAGCTCCTTCCTCCCCTCCCATCCTCCTTCCTTTTTCTCCCTTTCTCCTCCCTCCCTACTTTCCTTTTCCTTCCTTGCTTCCTCCCTCTCACCCTTTTTTCCTCTTCCTCCTCCCTCCCTTTCTTTTTCCTTCCTTGCTCCCTCCCTTTTTCCTCTTCCTTCTCCCTCCCTTTTTCCTTCCTTCCTCCCTCCCTTTCTTCCTCCTTCCTCCCTACTTTCCTTTTCCTTGCTTCCTTCCTTCCTCCCTCCCTCCATTTCTTCCTCCTTCCTTTCTCTTCTTCCCACTCCCTATTTTCCTTTTCCTTCCTTGCTTCCTCCCTCCCTCCCTTTCTTCCTCCTTCCTTTCTCTTCTCCCTTGCTTGCTCTCTTCCTCCTTCTCCTCCCTCCCTTGCTCTTCCTTTTTCTTCCTCTTCCCACCATCCCTCCCACTCCCTCCTTCCTTCCTCTTCCCCCTTCCTTTCTTCCTTCCTCCTCCCTCCCTCCCTCTGTCCCTCCCTCCCTCCCTCTAAAAATTGATCCCTTTGCATGTGGATTAATGGACTCTATTTTCCCACATTATCTCCCATTACTCATATGCAAATCACCAGGGGCTGGTGATGTATGGTGAAAACCCTAGTAGGCAGCAAGCAAGAAATAACTGGAGGTTTTCAAGAAGAGATTGGATGGGCATTAGTCCTGAATGGCATAGAGTCTCTTGCTTGGGCAGCGGGGTGGACTAGAAGACCTCCAAGGTCCCTTCCAACCTGCTCTTCTGCATTCAAAATTAAACACCTCTGGGGCCCCTTCCACCTCTGTGATTCTGTGTTCTAGGACATTTAATAATTACACAGCCCATTCTCATATTCAAAACCGGAGTGGCCCTTTGCTCTGGCTACAGTCATTCTTTGTGTGTGTGTGTGTAAAAAAGTTTTTTAATTTTTTTTTAAGACAAACATTTAGTACATCATTCATTTCTTCCATGTGCCATCTCGGTGTTATCTCCAAAAACTTCTTCTTTTCTCTTATCTCTTCTATCTTCGTTCTCGCCAAGTCCATTACAAAAATTTCCCACTAATTTAATGTTCTAGTTGTAACATTTTTTATCTATCTCTATTAAAGCTTATTTGTATATTTTTTTCTAACCAATAGTAAAATTGATTCCATATCTTAAAATATTCTGAGTCTTCTCTTTCTTTTATCATCATAGTTAATCTGTTCATTTCTGCACAAACTAAAAATTTTCTTAATTACTTCTCCCTCTGAAGGTATATTCTCTGCTTTCCAATTTTGTGCATAAACAATCCTTGCAGCTGTTATTACATGTATAATCAAATATATATTGTCTTTACTAATTTTCTCTGGTAAGATACCCAATAGGAACAGCTCTGATTTTAAGTCTATATGTTGTTGTATCATTTCCTCCGACCGTAATTTAATTTTATTCCAATAGTTCTTTGCTTCAGGGCGTGTCCACCACATATGATAATATGTACCTGGTAACTGGTGGCATTTCCAACTGGCTACAGTCCTTCTCAATGACCAATTTTATCCGTCATATAACAGGCTTAACTTTTCCCACAGGTCTGGCAGTGTGGCGGGAGCATGGAAGTCCTGCCTTGTTCCCGGGTGGCTCATATTGAACGCACCAAGAAACCTTACAACAACGACATTGACTATTACGCAAAGCGCAATGCCCTACGTGCTGCTGAAGTGTGGATGGACGACTTCAAATCCCACGTGTACATGGCATGGAACATACCAATGACGGTAAGGGGAGGACAAGGCCTCTTTCCCACAAGTGGAACATTCCTGAATTCTGCTTATCAGCCAAGATAGTAGACAGGTCACCAACTTGGCGAAACCTCTCCTGAAGTACCTCTGCCTTTTATGATACCGCTCCAGCCTCCCTTCCCGATTCTGCTGAGATTTAATTAATATTTATTTCTGGTTTTTAAACAGCATCTGTAGATTCAGAAGCTGCTTACATGGCTTAGGAAGGAAGGATGAAGGGAGGGAGGGGGGGAGGGAGGAAGGAGAGGGAGGGAAGGGAAGGGGAGGGAAGGAAGGGAAGGGAAAGGAGGGAGGGAGGAAAGAGGGAGGGGAAGGGAGGGAGGGAGGAAAGGAAGGAAGGAAGGGAGGGAGGGAGGGACGGAGGGAGGGAGGAAAGGAAGGGAGGGAGGAGAGGGAGGGACGGAGGGAGGAAAGGAAGGAAGGAAAGAGAGGGAGGGAGGGAAGGGAAGGGAAGGGAAGGAAGGAAAGGAAAGGAAAGGGAGGGAGGAAAGGAAGGAAGGAAAGGAAAAGAAGGGAAGGGAGGGGGAGGGAGGGAGGAAGGAAGGAGGGGGATTGGGTAGGTTGGTAGAAGAATGGGGCTGTAGACCAAGTCAATGATTGTGTGAACTGGAGAACAAGCTGGTAGAATCTGGTTTTATGGTTTGATTCTGTTTCACAGAACCCTGGCGTTGACTTTGGAGATGTGTCAGAAAGGGTTGCTTTACGGCAACGTCTGCAGTGCCGGAGTTTTAAGTGGTACTTGGAGAACGTCTATCCTGAAATGAGGGTTTACAACAACACCATCACCTACGGAGAGGTAACATGTGAATCCCCGTCTCTCCAATCTATCGTTCTTTTTTGTGCTAGTCTGGACTGGTTTTGCTCGACTAAAGAAAAGAAGAAATTAGGGGTGACGTGATAACAGTATTCCAGTATTTGTGGGGCTGCCCCAAAGAAGAGGAGGGTCAGAGGGGGCGCAAAGTGCGTGAGCGAGGCAAACCGGTAGTAACACTGGTTACAACCCACCACTGCCCAGCTGACTTTCTTGTCTAAAGTGGGAACTGGACTAGGCAGGACTAGAATTCCCCGTCTCCTGGTGATTGGCCCAAAGTCACCCAACTGGTTATCATGACTAAGACAGAACTAGAACTCACTGTCTCCTTGTGATTGGCCCAAAATTACCCAACTGGCTTTCATGTCTAAGGTGGCACTAGAACTCCCCGTCTCCTGGTGATTGGCCCAAAGTCACCCAATTAGCTTTCATGCCTAAGGGAAGACTAGAACTCCCCGTCTCCTGGTTCCTAGCCGGGTGCCTTAACCCTTAGACCAAAACTGGCTCTCTAAATAAGTGAGGCTGCGGAGGGATGTAGAGTCACATCGAAGGAAGCGTGTCCCCCCCCCACTCCAGCTGAAAAACACCCCCCATAAATTCAGAAATCATCCTCAAGTGCAAGAATCTACCTTAAGAATCAGGTAGGCACAAAGAGAAGGAAGCTCCTTTCAACGGGGGAAAGGCAGTTTTTGAGAAATTGCCAAGACAATTTTTGGCTTGGCGGCGAATATTTATGCTGCCCAGCTGTAATTGCTAATCAGGTTAGGAGTGTGATGTATAACCAGGCACCTTCTCCCTGCTTGTCTCCCAGAATTGCCGATTTCGAAGATAGCTTCCCCGTTATTATTTTTATTTCCCCCCCCCCATTAAGCCTTGTTGTCTTTGGCCTCTTGTCAACGGAGGAACTAAATATACGAGGAAGGATATAAAACATACCGAGAGGTTGTAAAAATATATTTCCCATCCATCCAAACACTCTATTTATTTATTTATTTATTTATTTTTGAAAGCCTGGGTCATAAAAAATAACCAGGACAGCTTCACTGCTGAATCACACTCTGTGTCGTAAAAAAGACACTGGTTCCCATTTTAAATGCTGGCAGCGCATTTCGGGGAACGCGAAGGACTCCGTGCTTCCTGACCTCGGGAATTTGTGATGGGCAATGAAACGGTATTTTATCTCGGTCTTTCAGAGGAGAAGATTCACATAACTCCTGAGATGCTCGTCTCATCGAGCCTCGAGTTTGATTCTGGAGAGTTTTACCTTATTTATCTTCGATTTTATGACTCTCGGTGAAGATGCCGATTTTAAAGGACTCTCGGCTGGGAAATGGGATAAGAACGCATCCATCTGCAACCGTTTGGGTTTTGATTTCTGGTTTATCACAGTGGAAGGAAGCCAGGCACTAGTTAGAGAGGAGACAGTGTGATGTCATTGTTTCAGGAGTTGGAGACATGGGTTGAGTCTCCATCTGTGGTCAATAAGGTCAGACCAACTTCAAAGAATTCATCAATTACCAAAGTGGAAAAAATGTTTTAGATGCACCTCTTTCTTTCTTTCCTTTTCTTCCTTCCTTCTTCCTTCCCTCCCTCTCTCTCCCCCTCCCTCTCTTTTTCTTTCTTGTCCAGTTGTCTCTTGAAAAAGCACTTTTGGGACAACCATAACTTGGATGATTGAAAATCTTCATAGACTTACACTCTCTCTCTCCCTCCCTCTTCCTTCCTCTTTTTCTTCCTTCCTTCCTCCCTTTTTCTTTCTTTCTTTTCTCTCTCTCTCTCTCTCTCTCTTCCTTCCTTCCTTCCTTTCTTTGCAAGGGAAGAAAACTTGAGAAACTTAAGGGAGATTTTGGCATTGAGAAAATGTAGCTTGAATAAATAATATTTGTCTTGCATATATAGATGAGTTGGATCATTTCCCTTAACGCCGTTTCTCTTCTCTCTCTTTTCACTTTCTCGCTCTTCCTTCCTTTCTTCCTCTCCTTCTTTCCTTCCATTTTTTCTTTTTCTTTCTTCTTTTCTTCTTCTTCTCCTTTCTTTCTTTGTCTGTCTGTCTATCTTCTTTCACTTTCACCTATCTACCCTGGGTTTGATTTCAGGTACGCAACAGCAAAGCTAGTGGCTACTGCTTGGACCAGGGTGCAGAAGATGACAATAAAGCAATCCTCTATCCATGCCACGGAATGTCTTCCCAGGTAAAAAACACACCTTTGGATGTTCTTTTGAAGTTAAGTGAGACCTTCACCTTGGAGGAGGAGAACTGATTCTCAAGCTAGGTTTGGGGCTGGAGGTTTAGCAAGGCAGCACGAAGTCTTGAGGAACGCCTAACCAAACTAGAGGCACATTTGATGAAAAACAGGCCTGTGTCCAGTGGTGGGATCCTCCAGGTTTAACAACCAGTTCGGTGATCGCGCAATTTGCGCGTGCCCATGTCTGACATGCACTTTCAAGAAATCTTCACTTCCTGGTTTCTTTGGAGGAGTAACTCAGCTGATTTGCGCAGCAATCTGCTCTACCGTGCAAATCAGCTGAGAAGATAAAGGTCGGAAAACAGCACGGGCAGGCGGATGGGCCCATCTGAAAGTTGGGCTGATTGTTGTAGCTATCAGTTCGCCCGAACTGGTAGAATCCCACCCCTTAGCCACAAAGTCAAGACTTCATGGGTTTGGGTGAGGAGGAACAATTTTAAAGAGGAGGGGATTTGAGATGAGAGCTCAATTTTTAGCAGCTCTCTTGTTGCATTTGCAGTTGTGCTGGACTTAACTGCGGTCTTATTACCTTTGATTTGGTTTCGGTCTTAGCTCGTCCGTTACAGCACCGAAGGATTGTTGCAATTGGGCCCGTTGGGATCCACAGCGTTCCTACCCGACTCAAAATGTCTCATAGATGATGGGAAAGGAAGGACCCCAGCACTGAAGAAATGCGAAGATACGCTGAGACCAACCCAGCGACTCTGGGACTTCACACAGGTATGACAGGCAGGTCAGAATATACAGATACGAGGGATACTGATAGAAGAGGATATTTGTAGCTGAGGGACGAACTGTGGGGTTCTTGGTGCTCTCTGAGCTTGGTTGCTTTCTTGCAGACGTTTCATGACCCAACTAGGCAATATTATCAGTGCTAGAAGAGAGTGAAGTTTGCAAAATGGAGGAGGAGTGGGGGTAGGGAGGAGAAGAATGTAGTAGTAGGAGATGAACTGTAGGCTCCTTGGTGCTCTATCAGCTGTTTTTTGAAGAAGTTTCATGACCCAACTAGGTAATGTCTTCAATGCTATCAGTTTGTTCTCACTCTCTTCTAGCACTGATGATGTTACCTAATTGGGTCATGAAACATCTGCAAGAAAACCACCAAGCTCAGAGAGCACCAAGGATCCCCACAACTATGTGAGGAACTGAACAAGAATTTTTATTCTGTTCAAGTATTACACTTCCCAAGTCATTGCCAACTTATTGCCTTCCAAATGTATTGAGATTCCTTTTCCTACAACTCTCAACCCCCACGGGAGTTGAGAACCCTGGAAATTCCATGGGATTCTGGGAGCTGTGTGAATGCTGAGGATTCTGGGAGTTCTCAGAAATTCTGGGAGCTGAGGATTCTGGAAGTTCACTGGAATTCTGGGAGCTGAGGATTCTGGGAGTTCTCAAATTCTGGGAGCTGAAGATTCTGGGAGTTCTCAAATTCTGGGAGCTGAGGATTCTGGGAGTTCACTGGAATTCTGGGAGCTGAGGATTCTGGGAGTTCTCAAATTCTGGGAGTGAGGATTCTGGGAGTTTTTGAATTCTGGGAGCTGAGGATTCTGGGAGTTCTCGAATTCTGGGAGGTGAGGATTATAGGTGTTTGATGAATTCTAGGAGCTGAAATGGAGGCTGAAATGAAATTGGACTTACATCTCTAACCAGCATGGAGGGTACCACGTCAGGAAAGGGAAACATACATGAAAAGGGACACACGCACTCACATGTAGAAATATTCCCCAGCTGGTTCCTATTATTATGAAGAATCTCAAACAATTTGATTTTCCATTTAAAGGAAATAAAGCAATCAGTCATTTTGATTACATTTTTTTTTTGACTCTTCTCTTGGTGCCTCCAAGCAATGCCAGTCCCTAACAGAAGATTCTGTGTTTTGAAGGAGAAAGCTGCATATTTAACTCTTCCCTCACTTGTCTTTTTTTCACTCACCTCTTTGAGGCAGCCTTTTCCTCTTGTTCACATTTTGAAACACACAAAGCCAGGCATTTAAATTCTTCTCCACACCAGCAAGTAACATCGTAAGTCAGATCTCCACATTCTCCTTTTTTGGGAAAATCCAATATTCTAGCTATCTCCTTCTCCATTGTAACAGTCAGCAGAGTCATCCCAGTGCACCAATTTTTCTTTCCCTTCTAAATCCTACAGCGTCTAATTTCCATATTTTGCTTTTTTTTTTCTTTCTTTCTTTCCCATTTTCATCAGAGATAGGAGGGTGTTCCCTTCCTCGCTCCATCTAGTAGTAACTGAAGTCCTATTCAGGTCTGCCTGCGAATTTGAGAGTTCAGAGGCCTGGGACCTAATATGTTCTGATCGTGATCCTTGCTAAGAATGACGTAGTTAAATGTATCTCTAAATATATTTAGAACAGGGCTGAAATCCAGCAGGTTCTGGAGAACCGGTAGCGGAAATTTGGAGCAGTTCGGAGAACCAGCAAATACTACCTCTGGCTGGCCCCAGAGTGGGGTGGGAATGGGGATTTTGCAGCATCCTTCCCCTGGAGTGGGGAGGGAACTGCCGATCTTCTGACTGACAAGCTCAGCGTCTTAGCCACTGAGCCACCGCGTCCCTTTGAATCTAGTTAGTACTAGTCTATTATTTAAGGTTCTGACTTGATCATGTTATAAGACATTCAATGGTCACACGGATCACTTCCCTGCTAAAGCCAACCGGAAGTCCCTATCTTGTTCTACTGTGATGGCTCCTCTAATTCTTTTTATTTATTCTTTTTAATTGAAAAATTTTAAAAAGTTTACATATATATCCCCCCCTTCCCCAACCCTCCCCCTCCCACCCACCCCCCTCCCTACTTCCCAGAGCAAAATACAGGGTATAACATTCAACAATCATAATCTAACATAGTCTAATTAATTATAACCTCTTACATCCCTGTAATACTTTAACTCCCCATTTACCAAACTAAATTTGAATACATAATAACATCTCTCTATCTATTCATAAGCTATTTGAAATTTTTTAGTCCGATATTTACTTTGAATATAATCTATTCATCTTCCCCATTCTATCATATATTTCTCATTTGAATAGTCCTTCAAATACGCTGAGATCTTCGCCATCTCTGCTAAGTTTGCTACTTTTAATATCCAATATACTATCTTGAATAGTAGGCAAATCTTCCTGCTTCCAATACTGCACCACCAACAATCTTGCTGCAGTTATTAAATTCAGGATCAAATTAGTCTCTATAACCATACAATCCGTGATTATACCCAACAAAAATAACTGTGGAGTAAACTTTATCCTCTTTTTAAGAATATTTTGAATAATCCACCAAATTTTTATCCAGAGAAGGAGAATATTCTTACAGTTACAGATGAGCAAAGGGAAAGATTGAATCAACTGATATCCGAGAGGAAATTTTACTGGCAATTAAGCAGTTAAAAGTTGGTAAGACCCCTGGTACAGACGGATTGACAGTGGCTTATTACAAAAATTTACAATTGGAAATGGTAGAACCCCTTAGGGAATTATTCACTAGAATACAATTGGGAGGAGGGGTACCACCATCTTGGAGAACAACCTTTATTTCTCTGATTCCGAAGGAAGATCAAAACCATACCCAGCCAAAAAATTATAGGCCTATATCATTACTTAATACAGACTATAAGATTTTTGCTAAAATATTAGCAAGTAGGTTAATGTCAGTTATGCAACAAATGATCCATAATGATCAATCTGGTTTTATACATGGGAGACAAGTGAAAAATAATGTAAGGCAAATTGTTAATATATTGGAGTATTTGGAAAGGAACAACCAAGTCCCTGCGGTGCTTATATTTTTGGATGCAGAAAAAGCGTTTGATCGATTGAACTGGCAATTTTTATTGAAAATGGTGCAGAAGTTGCAATTTGGAGAATGTTTTACAAAATCTATTAAGGCAATATATCAAGAACAGACAGCGCAAATAATAATCAATGGTAGTTTAACAGAAACTTTTAAAATAGAAAAAGGAACAAGACAGGGTTGTCCCCTGTCCCCATTACTGTTTATTTTAACGTTGGAATTATTGTTGAACAAAATACGTGACTCTGATAAGATACGGGGAATTAAGATGCCTATAGATTACGAGCATTTGCAGATGACTTGGTTGTAACCTTAACTCATCCAGTGAAATCAGCTACAGGTTTAATGGAGATAATTAATCACTATGGTCAAGTATCTGGGTTTAAAATAAACATAACTAAAAATATGACAATAAAAGAAGAATTAGAAAGAGTAACAGGATGTGAGATAGTTAAAAAGGTTAAATATTTATGAGTTTATATTACAACTTCAAGTGGGAAATTTTATAAGTATAATTATGAATTGTTATGGCATAAAATACAGACAGAGATGGATAATTAGAAAAAATTACAACTGTCTTTGTTGGGTAGAATAGCAGTAGTAAAAATGAATGTTTTGCCTAAGTTTTTATTCCTTTTTCAAATGATACCAATACTTAAAAAGGATGCGAACTTGGAAGAATGGCAGAAGGGCATTAATAATTTTGTTTGGGCAGGGAAGAAACCAAGGGTTAAATTAAAAATAATGCAAGACATACGTGAAAGAGGAGGTTTGAAAATGCCCAATTTAAAATTATACTATGAAGCAGCTGTTTTATCAGCAATTAGTGACTGGATTAATTTAACAAATGAAAGAATATTGAATATAGAAGGATATGATTTGGTTTACGGCTGGCATGCTTACTTAGTGTATGATAAGAAGGTTGATAGGACTTTTAAAAGTCATATATTAAGGAATGCTTTATTGCGTGTCTGGAAGACATATAAATATGAATTAAATGACAAGATATCTATATGGACAGTACCCAGACACGTGATAGAGAATATAAGTATAAAACAAAGACAGGATGCAATTACATATAAAGAAATTCTTAACACAGAGAGAGGTATATTAAAGTTAAAGCCTTTGAGGGTATTAAAGGAAGAAAGGGTAATCCAAACTTGGTTTCAGTATGCACAATTACAAACTAGATGGAGAAAAGATCAGAACATTGGTATCATACAAAGTGAAGAAAATTTGGTAAAACAAATTAGAGACCAGAGTCAAATGCATATAAAAAGGTTGCATAATATATTGCTAGAAACAGACTCGGAAACAGAGTTAGTTAAGGATTGTATGATAAAATGGGCACAAAACTTTGAACAACCGATAATGATGGAAACATGGGAAAAGATATGGGTTAGAAATGTAAAATTTACATGAGCGCAAAACTTGAGAGAACACTTTTACAAAATGTTTTATAGATGGCATTTAGATCCCAAAAAGTTAGCTTGTATGTACCCGAATTTACAATCTAAATGTTGGAGATGTGATTGTGATGACGCTACTTATTTTCATGTATGGTGGACTTATAAAAAGGTTAAAGCTCCTCTAATTCTTGAGCTCACTTTACAGAAAATTTTGGGACCAGTGCTAACTTGTTAGGTGTATCCTCTTTTTAAAATTTTGCACAATCCTTTCCTCAGTTTGATACCAGCTGAAGGCCAATAATAAAACTGTGAGGGTCAAAGAATCGAGGCCAGGAAAAGATCTAAGATAGATATTTTCAGGGTTCCGAGGGATGCCCTAATTAAATCATGAGCCAAGCTTCAAAAGAAATCCAGTCATTTATTAGGAGCTTCATGTCGGCAAGTTCCCAAGTGAAGCCAGCTCTGACCCTACGTAATTTACGCTCCAATTATGACCCTGTTTCCCCCCTCCCCCCAGGGTGTGTCATCAATCACATTCGCCAACAAAGCAATTTCTCGGGTTGTAGAGGTCACTCTCCTCCGGCTACTGTAGGTATCCCTGGGATACAGCCTTGAGAGAGATAAGCATGGAATGTGCATCTGTTTTTGGCTGCTGTGCAGTTTCGCCAGTTTCCCATCCCCCTGGCCTATGGCAACTCGAGAACAGGCCAGGGATGCTTTGCGAGTTGACAGATATATCATCAGCTGCTTAACAATGTTGGGATTTGACCTCCTTAATGAAGATCATCTTCTCTGCATTTTTTATGAATATCATTTTGGAATTCTACTTTGCCAAATCGATGGTAGGGTTTACAAAAGAGCCTTAATCCTGCAATAGGTTTGGGGTGATTTGTATTATTTTGCTTTTCTTTGCCTGTCTTTGAAAAAAGGATGAGAGCTTACAATCCTTCATCTTCCTCCCTTTACAGAACGGACCCATCATCAACCGAGATACTGGACGGTGTCTAGAAGTAGAAATGTCAAAAGATGCCAACTTTGGACTTAGATTGGTAGTACAGAGATGCTCGGGGCAAAAATGGATGATCAGAAACTGGATAAAACATGGAAGGCATTGATTTCCAAAGCTTCAAAGGACAAGGACTTCTCTTCTCCAAATCCCATGTGCTTAATCTCTCCAATGGTCGTAGATTAAGTAGGATTCCGATGAAGAAACCATGATGGCTCTAAGAAGGAGGCCAGAGTACAATTTTGGGGGTGTTATTCTTACTTTTTTTTTTTTTTAAGGAACAATGTGGCCTTGTCGATGTCGAAAAAGCTGACATGTCAAGGAAAAGACTAATCTAGGACTCGTTCCTTTTATAGACTTAGTTGGGTTGACTCTAAAGGAGGTTCCATCTAGTGAACCTTCTCACCTGCCTCATGTCAATCAGAAGTGACCGCCCCCCTCAACCGTTCCTTGTGTCATTGGGCGACCAAGAAAGTTTTCTCGTGTTTCTTTCTGATGGATAAGAGAGAGAGAGAGAATAGACAATAGAATCAAACTTTGCTTTGGGTCTCATGGAATTGCGGGTGGGAGAAAGAACAGGGAGGGTAGCCATATTGGGGATGGATTTGGTAGGATGGATGGATCTCGTGCCTCGCTGAAGACGCTCCTGTTCCAGGCGGATTTTGTAGCTTTAAATTGCTGGCTGGCTGCACACAACCCTTTTGTGGTGAACAGACCCATGTGCCTTGTCTACTTGTGCTTCCTATCCTGGGGAACTGGGAAGTCACACACAACTTCAGCATGTCTGATGAACTCTTTCAAAAGCACCCCAAAAGGCAACAGCGAATACCCTGTAAATAAATTACACTGCCCTTCCCCCACCCCACCCCACCCCACCCCACCCCCCACAAAATACACGATCTGTTTCCAGCAAGTTGACTTGGACGCCGGCTGATCACAAGAGTGTCGCAATTTCTTGGAACGGGAAGATGGATGTTGTGCGTTTCGGCCCTACCGTCACATCAACCTGCAGAAGGGATGCTGGGAGGCGAGAGGTGCTTTGATTGGGGTGGGGTGGGGTGGAGGGGTCTATCACACCTGCGATGTTCAAACGGTTACCTGCAACCCCAGGTTTAAAGGGGCCACTTCTTAGGGACTTTCCAAACATTTCTGTCAAATTGTAATTTTTTCCCCCCAAATGGGTTGGAATAAGGGGCAATATTCAATGTCCTGGGGGATTCATCCCATCGGCTGCATTTCATTCATCTGGCATTAAATTTTAATTGACCGTATTGATTTCCGTCCTAGCAGCATTTGCTTTTGAAGGAGTCTGGTAGGGCTACTCAACATTTAAGTGCAGGGAGTCCTCGACTTAACAAACAGTTCATTTAGTGACAACGGCACTGAAAAAAAGTGACTTACGGCCATTATTCTCACGAGCATTGCAGCGTCCCCGTGGTCACGAGATCAAAATTCAGAGCTTGGCCACTGACTCATATTTACGATGGTCTTGGGGGGGGGGTCACATGATTACCCCTTTTGCGACTGTCTGACAAGCAACGTCAACGGGAGAGCCAGATTCGCTTAACAAAGCATATAAATCAAATTAAAAAAAAAAAAAAACGGGTCACTAACTGAGCAACTGCAGTGATTCACTTAGCACCCGTGGCAAGAAAGGTCGCAAGACGGGGCAAAACTCCCTTAACCTTAATGTCTTGCTTAGCAACAGAAATTTTGGGCTCTCTTGTGGTCGTAAGTTGGGGACTACCTGTGCAGCTTTTGAGAGTGGTTGGCGTCAGAGCTCCCACAGGAGATGGTTTTGGATCTGAATGGCGTAGCCTTAAGAAACAGAAACAGATTAACAGAGTTGGAAGGGACCTTGAAGGTCATCTAGTCCAACCCCCCACCCAAGCAGGAGACCCTGCACCATTTCTGACAGACGGCAGTCCAGTCTCTTCTTGAAAGCTTCCAGTGAAGCTCCCACAACTTCTGAAGGAAACTTCTGTTCCATTGGTTCATTGCTCTCACTGTCAGAAAACTTCTCCTTATTTTCAAGTTGAATCTCTCCTTGATCTCTTCTATCCATTATTCCCTGTCTGGCCTTCGAGTACCTTGGCAAATAGCTTGACCCCCTTCCTCCTCTCTGTGACAGCCTCTCAAATATTGGAAGACTGCTCTCCTGTCTCCCCTGGTCCTTTTCTTCACTAGACTCGCCAGGCCCAGTTCCTGCAACCGTTCATTGTAAGTTTTAGCCTCCAATCCCCTAATCATCTTGGTTGCCTTCACAAGATGTTGGCTTCAACTCCAGCCCAGTGGAAAAATATGTCTTTGATGCAAGTGGGGTGCAGCACCGATCTTCGGGAGAACTAGTTCGGAGGCTGACACCTTTGGTTCCTGCAGTCAGATCCCATCAAAGGTATTTCTAAGCTCGTGTACCAATCAGGGCTTATATATATATATATACATATATGTATACATATACATATACATATACATATACATATACATATACATATACATATTGTTTCAGATGACATTCAGTCTTCTTCTCTGGAGACTATGGCACATCTCTTGCAATAAATCCACTCCTTTCTGTATGCCCACCTAATTTTCTGACCGGAATTAACTTGGACTTGTGTACATGTGTCGTGCTTTTCAAATCTGCAGATCACCGATCACGTGTCCGTTAGAAAAGAACAGACACGAGCTACGTGTGCCAGGAACTCAATTCGTTCACTAAGTGGCAGCAAGAGAGAGCAAAAGAGAGATCCAGGTTAGAATTAAGGAGAATTTTTGGACAGGGAGAGCAATTAATCAGTGGAACGGCTTACCTCCAGAAATTGTGGGTGCTCCATCACTGCAGGTTTTCAAGAAGAGATTGGACAACTATCTGTCTCAAATGGTAGAGTGTCTCCTGCTTGAGAAGAGGGTTGGACTAGAAGACCTCCAAGGTCCCTTCCAACTCTGTTATTCTAATTATGGCTTATTCTATCCACTTTGCATGGGACTTGAATCTAGTTAGGACTTGTTTATTTATTTATTAATCATATTTCTATGCCGCCCACTCTCCGAGGACTCTGGGCGGCTTACACCAAAGACAGTATACTAACTAGCATATTGCCCCCCTAACAATCTGGGTCCTCATTTTACCCACCTCGGAAGGATGGAAGGCTGAGTCAACCTTGAGCCGGTGAGATTTGATCCGCTGATCTGCTGAACTAGCAGTCAGCTGAAGTAGCTGCAGTACTGCACTCTAACCACTGCGCCACCTGTTGCTAGCATTTGGTGCTAATTGTGCACAAATTGTGGTGCAAAATTTTGTGGGTAATGTCACTGCTTATAGACAGTGGTGAAATCTAAACTACTGGTTCTGTGGGCGTGGCTTGGTGGGGGGGGTAATGTGACTGGATGGGCGTGGCCAATTTTTTTTTAACCTTTAAAACCATTTTTTACATGTAAAACCATGTAAAAAATGCTTTCAAAAGGCTCTGACGATCCCAGCTGAGTTGCCTGATCGTCCCTCTGCCGATCAGGCAACTCAGCTGGGATCGTCAGAGCTTGGATGTCAGAGCCATTTAAAAGAAAAAAGCCTCTGATGATCGCGTGGCTCAGCTGGGCATGGGGGGCGGGGGCAGGATTTTTGCTACCGGTTCTCCGAACTGCCCACCGCCATCGCTACCTACTCGCCCGAGCCGGTCCGAACCGGGAGCATTTCACCCCTGCTTACAGAGTATAGAAATATTACTAACAGAATCTACTGCTATTCTCTCAAACGAAGTCATCCCTTTGTAAGTCTGAAAAGAAAGTTACCTGTTAATAATTTCTTCCCAATGGGCTCAGGAGTAGAATTGGAGGTCATGGGAAGTAGACTTGCCCATGGCTGCCTTTTTCAGTGGTTTCAGTCCAAGAACATTTGAGTATCGAATGGCTCCTCAGGAACGTTAGAACTTGGGTAGCTCCTCCATCTACAGAAGTTCGATCTTACCGTTCTCCAAAGAATTCTCAAGGGGATCTTGGCTTTCCAAAGCAAGAGATTTTCTGTAGAAGTCTTTGTGGAGAAATATTTCTACTCTAGGCCTTAAGGGCAGAATTTCCACAAAAACGTCGGACACCAGAGAAAACCACCCTAAACCTCTGTTCAATGAAGTGGATGCTCAAATGGAGAAAGATCAGACAGAATTACAGAGTTAGAAGGGACCTTGGAGGTCTTCTAATCCAACCTCTTGCTCAAGCATACCCATGACGGGGAACCTATGGCACGCGTGCTACAGGTGGCACGTGGAGCCATATCTGTGGGCACGCAAGCATTGCCCTATGTCAGCTCCAGCAGACATGTTCGTGCTGGCCAGCTGATTTTCGGGCCTTCTGGGCCCACCGGAAGTCAGGAAACAGGTCTTTTCTGGCCTCCAGGGGGCGGTGGGGAAAGCTGTTTTCGCCCTCCCCAGGCTCCTAGAAAGGCTCTGGAGCCTGGGGAAGGCAAAAAACAGGCCTTCTGGTCCTACCAGAAGTCAGGAAATGGGCTGTTTCCAGCCTCCAGAGGTCCTGGGGGGGGTAGGGAAGGCTGTTTTCGCCCTCCCCAAGCCTCTGGAGCCTGGGGAGGGTGAAAAATGGGCCTACCGTGCCCACCGTGCCATCACGTGCCATAAGCGGGGAAAGCATGGGGGAGGTGAGGCGCATTGAATTATGGGTGTAGGCCCGCATGCGTGTGACCATGTGCTCCCCCCACTTTTGGCACGCGACGGCAAAAAGGTTAACCATCACTGACCTATACCATTCCAGACAAGTGTGTCCCGTCTCTTCTTGAACATCTCCCAATGATGAAGCACCTATGACCTGCTTCTGTATTTTGAAGAGAAGACCAAACAAGGCATCTCTGGAAGGAGATGAGCGCTCTGCAGGCCATTGTACGTCCAATCTTCTATAGGACAACCTTACAGATCCATAAAAGTGACGGTTCCAGAAATGGAAACGTGGGGAGAAGCCCTGCTACGTTGACCTCATTTCCAAAGCCCCCGTTTCCTCTTTTTGTTTCCGTGAGCCCTGTTTTTTTTTTTCCCCCGTCTCTGCAAAACAGCACGTAGATTTCTTTTATGGATGTTTTCCCATCTGGGGATGTCAGAGGTGAGAACTCATCTAGCCAAATGTGTGTGCCTAGTCAAAATTTATTCCGGCTCCGTTCGCCTTTTGCCCATCAGGGAAGCCAAAGGAGACACACACACAAATTCCCATCTCTGCCCAGCTCTTTTGCTCTTTAGAATTTTAATTAAGGGGTCCAGCGAGGTGAACAGGCAGCTCAGAAGTCTTGGGCCGAGATAATCATATCTTGGAATGCATAGATCCCCTCCGAGCTTTGGTGCAAGCTGATGTTTTAATAATACCTTCTTGTTCTAGAGATCTTCCTGAAAGCTGGAGAGCTTCAGAATACTGATTTGTTTGCTTTATAAATGGCTTTTCTCATTGGAGACCATGCCTGGAAAGAATCCGCCCTGACCGGAATGGTGAAAGACAGATTGTGATCCAATTAACCGATGCTAAATCGATCATCCCTCAGCCTTCCGCTGCAGTGCAATTTAGTTTTTTTGTTTTTTAAAAAAAATGGGTTTCCTCACCAGGAAATAAAAAAATCTCCTAAAATCTAGCCCACCGTTCTCCTTCCCTTGACTTAATGTCTAATCTACCGTGTGGGGAATCCAAAATTTGGATGGCTTTAACAGATAAATAAATAAAAAGGACCACTTCTCCTTGGACAAAAGAAACAATGATGCTGAGCCAAGGGGACGACTGGATAGTTAAGGCAAGGAAGAGCACAGAGAAGAGCAACCAGGATGCTGAGGGGACTGGAGGCTAAAACATATGAAGAACGGTTGCAGGAACTGGGCATGGCTGGTCTAGTGAAGAGAAGGACCAGGGGAGACATGACAGCAGTCTTCCAATATTTGAGGGGCTGCCACAGAGAGAAGGAAGGGGGTCAAGCTATTCTCCAAAGTGCCTGAAGGCAGGGCAAGAAGCAAGGTAGAGACAAATCAAGGAGAGAAGCAACCTAGAATCAACTAGAAACAAAGTTTTTAAAGAAAAGATTGGACAGCCATTTATGTGGCTCTGGGCTTCTAAATTGGACTTGTAAACTGGACCTAGCTTCCTTTTAACTCTGTTATTCTGTTAATCTGTGGAACTCTTGTCATCTGTCAAGGAAGAAAGGGAGGGAGGGAGAAAGGAAGGAAGGAAGGAAGGAAGGAAGGAGGGAGAGAGGGAAGGAAGGAGGGAGGGAGAAAAGGATGGGACAAGGGAGGAA